TCCACAGCAGCTTGGGGCTGTGGCGACAGACTGAGAATGTGGGTCAAAGGGTGGGGGCCAGCACGTGACCTTCGGCAGGCTATTCAAAATTCCCCTGGGTGGGGAGTTCATCTTTCCTCAGGCAAAGGTGACCCAGAGCAGAAGGGCCTGTCTTCGGAACAGACCCAGGGGGCCTGGGGAAGGGGTGGAGTGGGTTCATCCTCTGGAATTGACACCAGCCACTTGCAGGCTGTGAGGCCCTGGGCAAATGTCCCTGTTCTCCTCCCCCACCCCCACCCTTTCAGCCTTTAGAAGGCCAGGCCTGCTCGGAATTATTGCAGTGTTTTTACCAAAGCGGGAGATACCAGGGGCGCTGGAACAATTCAGAGGGGCTGCAAAAGCCAACACCTACACTTTATCCTGGATTATAGGCTGTAGTATGAATTGTTTTAATTGCCAGAGGGTGGTGGTGAATACTTTATTTTTTTCCCTTAAGAGGGGACAGTCGGACAGTTAAGGAGCCCTAATAGCAGAGTGGTTCCTGATTGGGCTGCAATCCGAAATAGCAGCAGTTGGAGACCACCAGCGGCTCAAAAGAAGAGGAGACCTTCCACTCCTGTGAGACCACGAGGGGCAGCGCTGCCCTGTCCCACAGGGGCACTGAGTCAGCCGTGACCCCGCGGCAGTGAACGAGCGAACCCAAGGAGTTTGGGAACCTGTGCTAGACCGTGATCTCAGCCTCTCCAGCTGCCTTTCCGGAATGTACTAGCATCGGTTCCATTTGGCAGTGTTCTCAGGGGGAGGTCTACCCGATCCTATAGGGGTGCTGTGAGTCGGCATCATCTGATGGCAGTGAGTGCCTTTGAGTGGATTTCAACCCCCACCCCTAGACTTTCCTTTATGGAGGGAGCCATAGTGGTATCACGGCTCAAGTGCTCAGCCGCTAACCTTAAAGGTCTGAGGTTGAAATCCACCAGCTGCTCCGAAGTAGAAGAGCCTGTGCCATATGGCCCCAAAGCTTTACAGCTTAGGAAACCCTATGAGGAAAAAAAAAGAAGGAAAACCCTATGGGATGGTGCCATTCTGCCCGACCAGGTGGCTCTGCAACAATTATTTCTAGAAGAGCTGATAGCGAGGTCTTTCTCCTGCGGAGAAACTGGGTGAATTTGAACCACCAGCCAGACAGATGCTTAGCTAGTGGGCCACCAGGGCTCCTCGGACAGCTTACAAATAAACGGAAGTGGAAATGAAGTCAGGCACCGGGTTAGTCCCAGGCGTCCAGAGAAACAAACTCACTGGCATTCACATATGTGTGAGAGAGAGCTTTATATTAAAGAGTAACTGGCTGTTAAAAACACATCCCAGCCCAGTCTAGATCAAGTCTATAAGTCTGATAGCAGTACATAAATCATTCTTCAGGCTCAGGCAGCGCATGCAATGATGTGAAATGCAGGAAGATCACAGGCTGGTGGGTGCAAAGTCTTGTGGATCCATTGGAGGTAGATGCATCTCCTGGGCTCTGGCTGCATTCAGCATGGCTCCATGTGGCTTGTCAACAGAAAGATAAAGC